CTGCAGTTGCGCTGATCGACGATTACAGTGCTTTTGCACAAGAACAAGAAATTCTATTTCCAATGCACACTGTCTTTCGTGTCGGTGAAATCAAACAGATGATCTACAATGGTCGTCTGTGGGGAGCATTGGATGGCATTGAATGGGTGAACTGATGCACAGAGTAGACCATTTCAATCAAGCTGAGGAACTTTACAATGAATTATTCAAAAACGCTGCTACTGACAGTCATAGAGTGATTATCTATCACCAGCTTGGAATGATAAAATTGTAACAAATACAATACAAAGAAGCAGCTTCATTTTACGGAAAGTCTCTCGAAAGTGACCTAAGAACTTTTTCGGAAGATCATCCTTCATTGGCTAATACCTACAACGATATCGGTCTCTCATATAACTATATGAGAGATTACTCGAAAGCCCTTCAATTTTATGAAAAAGCAATTAAAATACAAGAAAAAGTTCTGTCTCCGAATGATCACAATTTGGGTTTTTCCTATGCCAATATCGGTTTTGCGTACAAAATCTTGGGTAATTGCTCGAAAGCACTTTCATTTTATAGAAAAGACGCTTGCTGTTAGACAAAAAATCACTTTCACCAACGCATCCAATAATTAAAACATTCGTGGGCAATATTGACAATATGCTACATCATCCTACTATTACACAATAACATAGCTATTACAAAAGAAAAAAAACTACTGATGTGAAAAAAATTTTTCTAGTTTCATGTATCACGATTAATGCATGAACGTATATTACAATATCATTCCTTCCGACCTTATGGAAAAATTATCTTGAGAATTCCAATTGGCCACAAGGACTTCTCAACTTATCTATATATGTGCCTTCTTAATTAGAAAAAAGAAATTCAACTCAGTATTTTATTATACCTCTATTCTTCTTGTTAATAGAAAAATAATATATAATAAATATAGATAAACTTATTATACATATATTAAGAGTGAATTGAGTCAAAAAAGATTCACTACGAGCTAGGCAACAAAATAGAATGAAATGTTATAGCATGAAAATTAAGAACATAGTTGAGAAGGTATATAACAGGTAGTATTCAAATTAGAAATAGTGATATGAAGCGATTTCAATTGAAATAAAGTGAAAAGTAGGAAGAAGTGATGATAATTTTGAATGTTATGTTTTCAACACCCTCAACAAGATTAAAGATGAGAAGGCAAAGAAAATGCAACAAAAGAATAGGTATTGCCTTATTACTAGATGGGATAGCTTTTTTGGCAAATCTTTTCATTTTTGTCTCTTTCTGTATTTTTCTGATCCCGCATCCCAAAATTCTTGGGTATGTGAACTTGTAGGGCTCGTTGCTTTAATTATGATTTTTTTATTATTATATAAAAAGCAAATCTATGTATAAATAGATGACTATTTCTTGAGTTTTTCAAAACAACGAAATTTTCATCTGTGTTCTTCACTTAAAAAGTAGGAATTTCAAAAAAAAAGAGGGCTCTATCATGCTCTCTATCATACATATCGTGAAAGTTTCATGTGATTTGAATGTATCTGAACCAAGATCAATTTTTGAAGGCGGGGGGATGGGGGGAAGTGCGAGAGCTTAAGTGAAAAATATCTAGCAAACGATAGCTGAGCACATTTTTCTGTTGTTAAGAAGCTCTGAAAAATAAGTATGATACCTGCTGTTGTTGTTTGCTATCGAAACATACTTTTCTTCGAAATCCACAATGTGAGTTCCAACAAAGTATAAAATTATCTATTGTAAGAAGAAATTCGAATCTTTAGACAAACACTCATAAAATAATAGAAAAATTATCATTGAAACATCCATCATATCTAATAACAATCTGTATTGTCTTCTAACCTATTGGATGACAAAATAAATGCATTTTGTTTTACTGATCTTGCGTCATTTTTTAAATTTGTACAAAAACCATTTCATCTAGAGAATAAAGATTTTCTGATGTAAATAAATGTATATTTGTCATTTGTTCATCATTAATATTTATCTTAAATTACTATGGTGTAAATAATTGAACATAACTAAAACAATCTATGCAACGATAATCGGGTTCATTAAACCATTGTTGGAAATAATTGTTTCATTGAATCAAATAATTAAGTGTATCTGATGGACTTATTATTGCAGATGAACTTTACACAATAATTATTTGATATTCTATTCATGAATGGATTTTGAGAATAATGAGAACTATTAATTGAAAAGAGCAACAAAATAAACGACATAGTATTGATACTGTTTATTTTTCGAATGTGAATGAATTAGATAATATATTTAGAATATACCAAAAGTAGTAGCACGATACTATATTATAAAAGATTAGAGAAAGTTTCCATATTTAGACATACTGATAGTCCAAACAATACTCCATAATTCTATAATATTTCATCATTTTTCATTTACTATGATATTAGAGTTTCGATCGTAGCTATGCAACTCTAATTTTATTGCATAAGGAAAATCTCTCTATAAGACTATCCTTAGAATAAAAGACAATGTTAAGTTCAAATGAACTAGGCATTGCAGTTAACCACTTAACTGCTAATCTTGTTTTTTGAAACTAAACAGTAATCTTTTCAAAATGTTTAAGAGTAACAAAAAACTTTTCTCAGTAAATATATTTAATAATTTTATATATAATACATCGTAGTAATATTACCATATACAAAATTGAAAGCAAATCAATTTCACAATAATAAATTCTATATGTATAATTCATTGCATACTTATATCTGTCACTGTTATCTCGAAAGGAAATAACAGAATAAATTAGAAAATGACTGTCAGTTCAAGGACGATCTTCTGAAAGAAAGGTTATATTGAAAACAAAAAAAAGTTATTCTTGACAAAGAGGATGATAACTAATGTGAAATATTAGAATTAGTAGAGAGGATCACACTCAGTAGAACATGATAGAATCGACACAAAGAGTCACGAACGTCCGACGTTCAAAAAGTTCTAAGATTAATTTTATTTAACAATAAATAAATGAGTTATAATTATAAATATAAGTATTTTTTTTTGGAATATTCTTTCTCTGGAAGCTTTCGTAAAGTTTTTGCAAAGTCACTTTCAAACAGACTGTTCAGACATTAATGTAACGATGAATCCATTGAAGTTCGATCATTTTAGTATCTTTCTCTAATCTGATTCTTTAAAGCTAGAAATAGAACATAATCACTAGCAGCCATATTTGGAGAATACAGTGAATGATGAAGCAGTTCATGTCTCAAGCCATAAATAATAGAAGAAATAAGATGTGATGCATGTCACGATGCCTTGTCATGTTGCAAAATGACATGAGATGAAATTAAGTCTGATAGTTGTTTTCTAATGTCCGGATGAAGTTGTCCTAGCAAAAGATATGCGTAATATATTTTAGTTCTACGTACTGTTTGAGGATTAACTCTTTATAATCTAAAAAAAAATGAACATAAAATTTTGTCAACAGCGTGTAAAATAGTGAGCCAAAAGTTCTTGACATGCTTGTCTCATTGATCAGATGTTAGTAAATGTGGCATCCATCTTGAACAGACTTTTAGTTATTTGTCACCAATCATGCAAAATGCCATGTACGATACAAGATGACATATCTATAATGACTACTATTTGCTGAATTGTGATTTGATGATCTTCGATGAAAAGATTTTTAATAGCTTTAAGAACTGTTTCGTCAATTGTACTAATATGTCGGTCCATTTTTAAAGCGATGAATCCATTCGATTATTCTGATCCATGATGGATCATTGTCACCAATAAATATTAAATGATGACTGACTTTCGAAAACTTGAAAAATTATTACTGGATGTTTTTGCATCAATGTAACTTAAGTTAGATATGCGAAAAAATTGTTATTATAGTATATGAATGTTTAATGAATTAAAACTCATGATGTCGATCGATAGAGGATTGTGTAAACTAAAGATAGACAACAATTTCAAAGCAATCATGTGTTTTGTTATTTTTAAATAAAATCAATCTTGAAATTTTTTTCTCCGTAAATTAATATCAAAAGAATCTTTGAGTAGTTTATCATAAATCACTGATTAGAACGAATGAAATAAATACATATAAGGATATAGAAATGAATATGATTAGGAATATTGAGTTTATCTGATAGATATGTTCATTACTGGTAAAAGTCAATAGATAAGATTGAAAGGCTTGAAAGATAAAGGTTTTTAGAAAAAAAAAAAAACGTTATTTTCTTCTGTATGACGGTTCAGAAAAATCTTTGTAATGTCATGAAATCACATTATAAATTCAATGAACTATAGTGTATTCGAGAGTAGATTATTTTCTCTATCTAGCGAGCTATAAATCATAAAATCGATAAATTTGAGCAAAATTAAGTTTTTCTGAGAGAAAATCCCCTAAGAGCTTATACCATTTATCTTTCCTTGAAGATTTGCTTTGACGTATATCCTACGTCAATAACTGTTAAGAGACTAATAGCTAGAGATGTGTCATTAATCATTATTTACAACATCTATTGATTACTACTTATATATTGTAAAAAGAAAAAAAACTAGAATAAAAAAAGAAAGGGCCTGACCGGGGATCGAACCCGGAACCTCGCGCACCCGAAGCGCGAATCATACCACTAGACCATCAGGCCTTTCTCTTATTCGTCCTTCACACATCAATTATCACTCGATGAAATTCAAACAAAAAAAATTTTTTTTATTCTTAAATACAAAGAATTTTTCAATATAGAAAATTTCAAATTAGATTTTTTTTATATAATAGTGTTTATTTTTCTTTTTATTATCCTGAGTTGTTATCTCGTTACATGTTATGTTAAATAAAGAAATTCGTTAATAAACATTGTCCACAAAATTAACTGTTAGGTGTCAACAACACACAAAACAAAATAAAGGACTAGAAAACAAAAGCAAAAAGAAAGAAATATTAGAACGTACAATGATAATAATATTGATTTCACAACTATTAAGAAAAAAAGAACAAGAGAACCAAACAAATAATAACTTTAAATAACCGTCTCACGAAATCCATGTGTTTCAAGAAAAGTATCAACTCGTGTTGATGTTGCTGGTTGTAATAATGTTTTAGGTAAAAATCCAATTTGTCCATTAGTTTGTTTTCGAACAAGATAACATGCTTGTCCAATTTGTTTAAGTATATAAACACAATCACCACGTTGTACTGAAAATGATGCACGTGAACTACGATAATCTTTTATTATTGTAAATAAACAATGTTTAGAATTTTGTATTTTTTTTGGTTGATGATGAATAAGTGAATCTTTTTCAATTGCATCAATATTTATTTCACTAAATTGATCGCATAATATGTCACTCATTGTACGAGAAAAATGATTTAATTTTACTGATGATGATTGATCACATACAGAACGTGTTAAACTATTTGAATTTAATTTTGATAATAATGGAACAGGTAAATCACATGATAAACGTCTTCGTTTAGAAAAATGTTTTTCAACATTTAAAGATGAATTTGATGATGATAATGGTGATAACGATGATGATGACGCTGTTGATATTGATGGTGAATGACCTTCACTTGATGCTCGTTTATGTTTAGTTGTTGGTTGAACAGGTCGAAAAGCACTATGAGAACTTCCGAATTGTTGTTTTTGTCGATGATGATTTAAAAAAATACTCGCGGGAATTTGTATATGACTTTTAGGTAAATTATATATTGACGGTCGAATTCTTTGTTGTGATTGTGATTTATCTTGACGAACATTTCTTATTAAAGCAAAATCACGTAAACGATTAACAGAATTATTTGTTGATATTTTTGAATTTAAATTTTCTTTTGAAATATCTTTATGGTTATTTCTATCAAATGTACCAAATGTATGACGTTTAGATGAATCATTATTAATCATATCATTCATTGATATACCATTGAGAAGTGTATGTCGATGATTTCGAGTTGAATGTAATTGTTTTTGATGTGGTTGACTTGGATTAATTGAATCCGGAATTTTAAGAAATGCTGAACGTCGAACAGTTGCATAATGTGGTGTTGAAAGAGGTTTCTTAAATGAGAACAAAATTCGTATGTTTTTGTTTATTATTGTTTCAATGGAGTTTTAATGAATAGGAAGAAATGTGTAATAGATTCTTTTATTCGATTGTTAATTTATTCTAATTGTATAATACAATTCGATATACTATAGGGAAATTAATTCTTTTTGCTTTAACTATTAAACACAAGAATAAGTGTCATTAAGCAAAAGTGTTCTTGTCGTTTACAATACGAAAAGATATTCTTTAAACTCGAATTATGGTTTTATTTAGCGAGATGAAAAGGTATGGATGAAAAAGTAATTTAACCAAGGTTTTTTTTTTTTTTTTTTTGTTGAGAAAAAAATTGTTTACAATGTTAAAAGAATATCAGATTTTATGTTTAATGAATGACTTAAAAGTTCTGAATATATGTGAGAAGTTTTTCTGAGATTTATAGGTTAAAAAGTATGAATCAATCTTTGAAAATCTTGGATAAAAGCATTTGAATTACCACATCTAATGACTTTATGAGAGAACCTTCTCAAGTTGAAAAATGCTTTTGAGTTCAAACTCTATGCATAAGGTACATCACAATGAGATATTACAAAACTCGAGAGAATAAGCGTCATTAGATTCTCCTTACAAAGTTATAGCTGTTCTACTGAAACCTTGCGCATCAATAAAATGATCATAAATATATAGAAAAACCGTAGGAGCTTTTATTCTTTTGAAGTTGGTAATATCTCATTGAGATCTATCTTCGACTGAAAAGTGATTTTCAAGTTGAGAAAATTCTCTCGTTAGTTCGACTGTCTTTTGATTGACTGAATTATATTCTGAAATTTTTTTTGGATTAGTACTTAAACAATATATATCCTTCAGAGCAATAATACATATTTTCTATTATCAATTATTTTTTGCATAGTATAAAGGATCAAATAGTTATCGGCAAAATTAGCTAAGAAAGAAAAGTCTTACAAGAATCCTTGAGACTTAATCGAGCTTATTTTGCAAGGCTAACAATCAAGAAGTTTGTTTCGAAAATGTCAATACTAAAAGTCTTATTATTAATGAAAGAATCGCAGAAAACTAGTGATTAACATGCCATTTCGTACAGAAATATTTTACTCTTTCTTTTAGTATATTAATAATAAATTTTATTTCGAATTTAGATATGACTTTTTTTTTTACTTAGAAAAATCTATTCATAGTTTATTATTAGGATTTTCAAAGAATTGCTGATAATTTCTAATCTATGAATATTCTATTATAAATTTAAGATTTTTCTTTTCTATTAAAACATACTTTTGATGTATTTATTATTGGATGTGATGGTGGTTGTTCATTATCTGGTGTTGGTTGTTGTACAAGAAAAAAAGGTGTCGATTCTGAATAACCCGAATCTTGTGTACTTGATGAATCTGTATCACGTGTTGCTATTATAGTATTATTATTATTAGTTGTAGATGTTGTTGCTGTCTCATTATTTATATTAATTGATGGTTGTTTATTTGATAATGAAGGATAATTAATAGAACTAACTGTTAATCGACGATCTTTTGATGATGATAAATTTGATCGTGGTGGTCTTGGTAAAGTATATGTATTACGTCTTTCACGTTCATCAAAAGATATTTGTCCTATACGTTGATTTGTATTATTATTATTATTATTAATTATAGCAGAACTATGTGATAAATATCGATTTATTGGTTGTTTATATGAATAATGAAAATCTTTTTCATTTTTTGAAGATATTTTTGCGATATTTATTTCTTCATCTTTACTAAATGATGAATCTGTTGATGATATTGATAAATTATTTGCTGTAATCATTTGATTATCATATAATGAACATATTATACGTGGAATATAACCTGTTTTACCATTTGAATCTATACGTACATAAAGCCATGGTCCACGTGAAAATAATGCTGTAACAATTGTGTCTAAGACAAGAAACAAAAGAAAAAAACAGCTATCAAAAGAAATAATTATATCGTTTTTCTTTTTTGATTGCATGTTAGATCAGACGAGAAGAAAAAGCCCTTTTTTTTTTTTTTTAGGATATTTAAATTACTCTTTGTTATGTAATTTAGAATTTAATAGTTTATATGATTCAATGAAGTTAGGAGGAGAAAAAAAAAAAACTTCATGTATTTGCATATATATATATATATATCAGAATGGTTTTCTTTTAACGTATATATAAAGAATGGCCTAAAAATATATGAAAAGAATGAATGATTTTTAAATGTATTCGATGATTATTTTATGATTTATGTTTCTAATGAGAATATGAGTATTGTATGAAAGAAAGAAAAACTGATTCTCTTGACAAAAATGAACAATATATGTTTACAAAAAAAAAATCAAGATATAAAAAAGAAATATATATGTCTAATTATAGGATATAAATTAGGATTCTCATATTATCAGATCTTTATTCTAGTATAGATATTATGTTAAAGGATGCATTATAATTAAATCCGTGATGATAATATACTTGAAAGACATGCATACTGATTTAGTTATAGGAAAGATTTTTAAGACTAATATCCATATGATAGCATATTTTCTATACTATAACATACATTTGTTATTTCAATCTATCTCTGTAATGACAGCCGATATGTTAACTATGTCAGCTACGTTCTGTTGAAGATGTGCATGCATGAAACTTATTCATTGTAGAAACATTATTAGACTATTGAAACAGCCTGTAGTACCTCTCAATATTAGCCGAGTAGAAGATGGCTTTTCTTCGTTATAATTAGACCTTTGGCAATTATATCTATAATAGGTCACCTGGAAAAAGACCTAGTCCATTGGAGTGTTATTTAATATTCCTGAGATGAATTGAGACGTATCAAATATAATATGAGAAAATGTTCTTAATTTATCATTTTCTGATTCATGGTTTTACCTTTTGTAACTGCAATATGTGCTTGAGCAAATGGTTCAAATTTTTTTTGCACAATAATACGTATATTTGCTGGATTTGATTTTGAATGTCCATGTAATAAACTTTCAATTGATCCATGTCGAGTTACTGATGATATTGGCATTATTGTTGCAACAGCTGAGTAACATGATGCATAAGATGATGTACGATTTAGAAGACTTTGTGACATATAACCAGAATCGTAATCAGTACGAATAATATCGTTTGATGATGATGGTTGCGTTGCTGTTGACTAAGAACAAGTAAAACATGATTTTTGATCAAAAAAAGAAAAACCTATTCCTTTTTCTATCTTTATATGTGTATACACAGAATGTTTGCTTCGGATTACTCTTAGTCAATAATGAAGAAAGGTCTTATTACTTTTTCTCTATCTCTCTCTCTCTTTTATTATGTCTGACTCTGTTTATTACAAGAAAAAAACTAAAATTAGAATGATTAACCTAGAAAGACAGAAAAAGATCCTAGATCTTATCGGTTTTAGAAAAGCAGATAAGCGTACAAATGTATATATATAGCGTATTTATTACTTTTGTCATTTATTCTAGTCGTTTTTTTTTCTCGCTCTCTTTCTCTTCTCTTATGCGTGCCCGCTATGTAAATTCTTGATCATGAATAATTAAGCTTCCATAGTGCGAGACAAATGAGAACCAAGAAAAAAAAAAAAAAAGGAGATGCGCCTCGTCTGTCTCTTGTTTCTCTTCATTGTATAATATCCATTAAAAAATCGAGAATAACGGAGTGACAACAAACATCGAGAGTAAGAACAAAATGTGCCCTCGAGAGTGATGTGCATGCACATGAATGAGAGATTGAATAACGATGATCATACATTATCACCAACAGGAAAAAAATGGAAACTCTGCCTGAATTTGTTGACATTATTTAGATTGTATTGAAATAATTATTATCTTTTTGCTATTTTTATTCTGCTTGTATTATCAAAGAATGAAAGCCAATGGCAAAATACTCAAGGTCACATATGCGTAGAAATTTCCTTGATATAGTTTCATTTATCTTTCAATAAATAGAGCTATTTGGAATAATCCATACAATAACAATTCTAAATTTGTCCAATGCCAATCGAGTTAATTAGACTAACCACCAAAAAAAAAACCGAGAGCCAGCGAATTCTCAATTGATTTGATCTGTTACAAGCATTATTAAATATTGTCTGATAGTAAATAGTAAAATTTGTCTAAACTAATGATGATTACATCATCTTATTTCCTATTAAATATTCTTTAGATTCTAATCGTTCGTAGTGATGATTACAATTACATTACATAAAGAAAAAAAAAAAGTCAATTTGTTCTATCGACTTTCGTAGAAGAATGACTACGTGCTAAGAATGTATGTACTAATGATAGATGAATAAAGTGTCACTATATTGGTAACAACGACAATATGACGCAACCAAGGATCGCTTTTTTTTTTCTATACTTACTGCATCAACGCCTTTTTTATTCGATGTTTGACGATGATGATAATAATGACGAGGACGTAGTGATGTTGGTAAAAGATTGAACAATGAACGACAATGTTCATCAGTCTTGTTCAAAGCATGAGTACCTAATTTACGATATGACTGATGTTGATGATTCGTTTCCGTTCGTTCTGATGTCATGTTTGGTAAAGGCCTTAGGTCAATTACAGAAGCAGTCATTGTGGCGGCAATCGATGATGTTGTTGATTCATCTTTGTAAGCTAAACAATAATAGAAACAGATGATTGTTTTTGTTTGAACTACCAAACGACTCAAAAAATATCGGATATCCGTCAATCTACAAGGTATTAATTTTGAATAGAATGTTTGTTGTATCGCGTGATTTCATTTTTGACATTATTAAATACACATACAAACATGTTGATAGTAAAAAACGATGAAGAAGAAGAAGAAAAAAATCGAACAAGTTCAAAGATTCTTGTCTACTTACAAAAGCTAGTCAAATAAGTTTGCTCTTGATATAAATATATATATATATGAACATTTCCTGAAGCTAATATTGACCATGCTTTTATATATTGAAAAATCAATGCTCCTGTGTATACATCTCATCTTTTCTTGTCTAAACAAACTATTCGATAGAAGAATATAGGCCAAACGTATTGCTTATCTTTTCTTTCTTTTTTTTTTCTCATGCTTGTCTCATTTATCGTATCTATCTGATATGATTTGAGACGTCCCGTCGCTAGCATTCAATCTTATATGATCTCAACAAAGAAAACATATGTAATCAATATGACGTGCCAATGCCAGATGCACATATATATATATATATATATATGGGCATTGTTGTTCAAAATAATTATGTTTGTATCTATTATTGAAATAACAATAAGAAAACTTACCAGTATGCTTACAAAGAATTTCTTTTATTTTCTTCCACATTGTCCACAAGAAAGAAAAGACCTGGAATGATCAATTAATCAATCAAGTAGATGTTGTGATTGTTGTTGTTGTCTTGTCATAATGATAAGGCTGATACAGACAGCATCTATAATCTATAACATGTGAAAATCTTTGTTGAAAATAATACGACATGATATGTTGTCGTTGTCATCATCCAAATATGTATATGTATGTTCATGCAACTGTGTATGGATGTGTGTGTGTGTGTGTGTGTGCCTACTATACACACATATGATTAGAGTTAAACACAAAAGCGAATGAGAACGAGAAAGAAGAAAGAGAGATGGTAACGAAGGGAGGGGAAAGAAGCGATTTTCATTTTCCAGCATTGAAGAAGGAAAATGACTGGAGGAGACGAAGACTCGGGAAGCACTAACGCACGCTGTCGGGAACAAAAAACAGGAGAGAATGGCGACAGAAAGAAAAATCTATATATAATATGTAAGCGAATTTTTTTACCATCATACAATGTCAATCTATCTAAAGATTACACGATCGAGAATAACTCAATAGAGATCTGTCGCATGATAAGAATACAAAAAAAGTACAATAAAACAAAAACGAACGAAATCTAGTTGATAAATATTGTTAAAGTTCTTCATTTACTCTTTGTCACAATCCTTGCTTTTATTAAAAAAATTATGTTAAATATTATATATCTATATATGGAGAGAGAGAGAGAGAAAGTAAAAAAAATTGGAGATAGAATGCATGCGCTAACTAAAAAAGAAGAATGAGAGCGCTATACAGACGTGATGCCTTTCTTTGTTTCTATTATTCTCATTGAAAAAACTCGTAAAGGATTCATCATTAGCTTGATCATAGGTAACCACGTTCGATTATGTACCTCTACGTCAATTTTATTATCTATATATAAAATTTCATAGAATATACAATATCTTGTATTTTGTGTATATCGAATTGTTTGTTAAACAATTACATGAAGGATACCATATGTTTCATACACTAGTTCACTATATGTTTATATGAACGTTAAAATCAAGAAAAGAATGTAGTTACCTATTTCAACTGATGATGGAAATGACGTTTGTCAATAGAAAGGATTAAAAAAAAAATAACTTATGCAATATAAATGTGATCGTTCATATAAAGGTACCTGTTTGTGTACATGCATTCAATTTCCGGTCAGTTCTTTCCCTTTTTTTTTTTCTTCTCTTGCTTCTGTTCGTTTATTCATCTGAAAGTAACATATACATACCTTGTCGTTATTATGACGTGTATGCGCATTCAAATGAGAAAGAGAGAAAAAGAATTTGTTCGTTGAAAGTAATAACCTTATATATATACATAAGCGGAAAAAAAAATGACCGAAGTGCTCTTCTCTATTTGAAACTCAAAGGCAAAGAACAAAGAAATAACCATTGGTCATAAAAAGTACGATACATGGTAAATTCATTGTTCATGGACAACATATATTACTAAAATAGTAAGAAAAAAAAAAAAGCTTTCTAATCATATCAATAAGAAGATCTGCTAATATATATAAAAAGTATTTCTATAAACATAACCTTAAATTGATAGATTAAGTTTTTCTTTTATGTAAGTATCTTAAGTTTATTATAACTTCCTATATAAATGATTGTAGAACAAAAAAATCATCATCCGATCAATGTATATAATTTGAAAAGAAAGATGAACAGCATGTGTCGATTTAATATTGAATACCAACTGTGCATATATATGTAGATATCAAATGAATAAAACGAGCAAACATCGATAATCATCCGTCTTTTTTTCGGACACACACCAGGCGGTCATATTACTGTATCAAACATGCATACCTTCAATCAAATATATAGATTTGCTTTTAAGTCTATTCAATATCGTATACGAATTGTTTTATTTCAAAATGTTATTGAAGCCGAAGTAAAACTAAGCGAAAGCTTTTAACATTTATAAAAATGTTGAACGAGTATATCAAGTTGTTCAATTCTAAAGTATCTCAATAAAATAATAATGGATATTTTTACTAATTAATAGCAGAAAACTAAGGCAATATAGACAATGATTTTTCATTCTGTCTTTTCATGTAATATACATATATATCTGATCATGACTTCATTATCATATATATATGCTTATATTTGCATTTTTTAGAATAAAAACGAAAGGAAATGATCTTTTTCTTTTTTGGTTTTATTAGATTGAAAACATTAAAATTATAGAATATTTGTTTTTCTAAACTAAACTTAGCCAATCTATCGGTAATAATATTTTTTTATTTTATGGTTTTTTTTACGATGTTGCTTTCGATCGTTTTCTTATCAATTTACGATATTGTTTCTTAATAATATCGTAAATAAAAAATACATTATCAAAAATTTGAAATTAAAATCAAAATAATAGAAAATTCTAGAAAGAAAAAAACAAAAGCAATATTTTTCAAAATTTCACTTGTATATCTCTTTTCAATTGACATTCTATCCATTGGGAATTGATTATTTATACATTCCTATTCTTTTGTTTTTTTTTCGATATGATTTGTTTAAATAACAATAAAAATAATTTAATTTAAAAAGCTATTCACTTTTCAATAGAAATTTAAAATAACTACATTGTATAGATTTATTGTCTCTATAATATTATTAACTAGTACAGATATATTCGACTAAAATTATTGCATAATCTTTACAAGAGGTATTTTAATAAGAACAATCAAGATTATATTGATCATAAGAATTTTCTTTTATTTATTCCATAATAGAAAAGTCATACTACTTGAACTATTGTATGATATGTCATTGAAAAGATCATTACAATGTTTCCGAGATGAAAAAAGAAATCAAATCAAATAAATATCATCTAAACTATTTTTAGTTAAAAACACAATTTCAATCTATATCAAACAAAAGAATACATTAGAATATTTGAATAAACATTGTGTCTTCTTTTATTAATACAATAAAAAAAAAAAGACTACATGTTTATTCGTGTGTACAGAAGAGCCCGCCGGGTCTATTCAAATCTGACAGGCTCTAGTCTACAGATTTGTAAGCTAAGAAATAATAATATGTTAAATAAATAAAATAAAAAAAATCGATGACATTATTTCTCTATAATCTTTGATTAAGTAATATTGAATATAAATCAAGATAAATTCTACATGTCAAATCAAATACTTTTGAAGATGACAATGTTTTTTTTTTCTTCATTAATTTAAAAAACCAAAGAAATATGTTATTACAAGCTTTCATGTTTTGTCATCACAACATATATTTTTATGATTACTGATCACTTACCTCTTGATAAGTTTTAATAAGCAATTATTTTTGACAATATACAGATCAAGACATCTGTTGTACTTTTACACATTATATTCATTGAAATGAAAGAAAGAATAAATGTGTCAAAAGAAATGACAATATATATATATACATATCATACATGGATAAAAATAATTGCTTGTTAATATTGACTACGAATATTTATCGAATGAAAATTTTAATAAATGTTTTATTTCAATATATACATATTGATGATCATTAAAAATAATTAAATTCAATGATGAAATAAAGGTATTAGTATTCTATTTATAT